TAAATATCTTGAGAGCATAAGATCATATGTCATTATTATTTACATTGTTTATTCTCAGGTTATTGTCTTCATCTTTATTGTTATTATTATTATGTGATAATAACAACAAAGATGAAGACAATAGTCTGAGTGTAAATAATGAAAATAAGGATAACTCCTCATCCCAGAAATTCAAACAGAAATCATTATGTTAGTGGAGATAAGTCACATGATGGCTGCTTAGTGACAACACTTCATACAGTGACAAGAATGGCCAGTCATTCAGTTTGTTTACAGCAGCTAAACTGAGCAGTTGCTTTTTTAGCCTGGGTCAAGTGGCCTGAGTTGAGGTTAAATCTGCTGCCACCAGCAGCTTACAAGCACACGGCACTGTTTTTCTTTGTGTATATATTTTTCCAGATACAGAAAGAAACTCCAACTCGTAGTCCTCAATTTGGGAAAACCCGATACTCACTGTTTCCTCTTCATGGAATATGTCTTTACCTGGGACATAATAGATGAATCCAACCCGTTTGAAACTGAGGTCCTAAACATGGCTTCTCCAAACACAGGAGTATCTCCATATTATATGTAAGGCCTATCCTTTTTGTTTCTCCATACACTCTGCTCGCTGTATAAATATATGTTATATATATATATGTTTGTGTATGTGTTACTGGTATAAAATTTTATTTTTATATGAAAAATATATGAATGAAAAATTATTCTTAAAAATAAAGGTATCATTATTTCAGTGGTATGATTATTTTATACAACAATTTGGGACATTTTCATTTTTTTCAATACTGATAGGAGAATTTTTTGTAACAAACAAATATACAAATATATAAAAATCAGATTTTTATTCTCAGAATATGGATTGATTTGTTTTTTACAGCTTATTATAAAAATTCACTTTGTAGGGATAGAATGAGAAAAGAGAGATTATCACTAATCTTAAGCCGAATATTGAAGAAAGAGCAAACAAACAAGATTCAAACCACTACAGCAACAATTCAAACAATATACATGACGAGGAAAGATTACAATTTTCGAAAATGAAAAAAAAAAAACTTTGAGAATGCAAAGCAAAAAATTAGATAAAACAGAAAATACAAAATGTCCACCCACCTAATTTGTAAGCTGAAATAGAGATATCTCAACATGAAGAGAGCTTTGATAGATTTAAAATGGTTGATATCATAGGGACTGTTCAGTTTAAGGTTTCAGTTCCTTTAAAACTTCTTCTTTGAAAGCAACCCAAATAGATTTTCCTCCTGGGTCCTGTATCTGCCATCTTGTTGAAATTTCAGTATATGGTTGTCTTGATGGTTTCATTCTCCATAGAGTGATTTATGATTCCTTTCTGCTTTGACAATTCCTTCTACCTTGAAATCTGACTGCTGACCTAACTCTTTTTATAAGAAAACATCAGGCTCCCAGAAACCTTAATTTCAAAATTTACAAGTGCATCAAACCACATCTCTGATTGGTCAGTAAATACAAAAATATTCTTTTTCAAATTCCAAAAATGAATCCACAACAATTCACATAGAAGAAATAATTTTGGCTATTCTTTAACTGCTAATTCAAAAAATAGAAATTTTCACAGACACATGTAACAATTTTTTACATTCTGTCTGGCTTTCTTTAAAATACACTTCTCTCAAAAGGATGTGTAAAATACAAGCCTAAACAATTATAATGTTTATCATTTACATCTTTTAAGTAATTTTACTTATTTTCTACTACTAAGATATAAAATATTTATATTATGAACTCCTTATAAGTTATTTAAAGCCAAAACATATTTTGAATTATAAGAATAATTCTTTATTTGTGAATGATTTTCTTAGCTTTTACCCCTACTATTTAACCCATAGCTGAGAAGAGGAAATGGATTCATACCTTTCCTAAGGGTATTTGTGTATAAGTGAATGTAATAAACCTAAGAGAAATTCAAAATCAGCCCCATGATTTCTTATTTAGAGCCACTACCCATTATATCACTCTGACATACATGCACAAATATGAGTCTCACATTATTATTATTAATGACTTGCACACTTGCCTTTTAACTGCATTATTTGAACAAAAATGATAAATGTATTTTTGCTGTTATAGTAACAAAAAACACACCCACATACATTGGATAATTGGATCATTATAATATAGATTTCTTTTAAATTTCTGTATGAAATTTTAATGATATTATTGATTAAAGAAACAGTTGTGTAATGTTTGATATTCTTTTCATACAGCAGAACTCATGTTGAACCAGATTCAGTGTTTTTCTTGTTGGAATTATACTAAACTAGCTTAAATGCCACCCTATCAAGTAGCATTTAAACTAGCTCCTGCAGAGGGATCTTCATTGGAGTTTGAGAGTCCCTAAGTCTTTACATATGCTCAGCATTGGAAACTCTCCTGGTTTGATCTGGGTTTTCATTTGCACAGGACTTTCTTTTCCTCACTGCAGCCTTGGTTCTTTTGATTGCAATCTGGTCCTCTGTCTGTGGAGATTTCTTTTGCAAGGCATACTGCTTCCATATGCAATAGGCAACAATGAACTACAGAACTCAAAAATAATCATTGCATTTAAGTATTGCATTAATATCTAAGCTTAACTTTTAAAAGTTGAATGATAATTCTTCTACCACCACTGTAAAGACAATTTGATGTATGTAGGTCTTTACTTTTCTGTACAAACAATTATTTTTATTTCATGGGTGACTTTCGATAAATTTTGCAATTAATTTCAATTCTTCCCAAATTTATTTCCAAGTTATAGAAATTGTTATCATACAAAAAATTTGTTGCAAAAAATCACATAAAAGAAATTGGTAAAAACAATCACAGTAATGGAAATTTGGGAATGCAAAATTTCAGGATTGGGGGTCAGGATCCAGCAATGTTTTTAATTTGTTCACGGAGTCGGCCTGATTCCAAAATGGTATAATATGTTCGACTACAGCCTCTAGAAGTAAAGTTGAAAAAGTGTGACACACAGACATTCACATCTATTTATATAGATGATCTATAAATAAAAAATTAATAAAAACAAAAGTTATTTGATTATAAACACTTCAAGTATAAAAATCAAAAAAGCTCTTTACATTGAAGTTGCTTATATTCCCTTTGGACAACTGCTCTTGAGAAAGGCATGAAACTATTTTTCTCTGCATTTTGTGTCTCATTGCCTGATATTTTGACAAAATGTCATATCACTAACATTCATGATTGTTGACAAAGCAAATGACTGAGACTTATGGTCATATCACATTGAAATACCAGTTCCCATATGGTCATCAAAGTTAAGTACCTAGATGAGTGACCAGTTGGGAATATCAGATGCTGTCTTGGATGTGTAGATGGTATAATGGATAATTGCTCAGAACATTTAATCAGAGAGCTGAGTTACAATTCCAGTTGGGTTTGTTATTTTTCCTCATATGTGAATACTATTGGGAAAGGTATGAGTCCACCATTTCTTCCTCCAGCAATTGGTTTAGTAAGATATATCACTAAGTATATCATATGTATCATTAAATTATTATTATCTAAAAATATTTTCTGGCTTTAAATAACCTGCAAAGGGTTGATAAGCCATAAAAAACAAATCAGTCAATCAAATCAAATGGCTGAGTGAGCACATGGGCAAAATGTTATCTCTTAACTACTTCACCTGCTCCAGTTGGCAAAAATCTGTCACTCATTTGCCAACTTTGACAGAATTCAATAATAATAATAATAACTACTTAACCCAAACTTAATATCTTTGCTTTTTATCAAAACACTAGAGATTGAGACATTCTTCTTTAATATTAATTTATTACTAGTTTTGTTTCAAATTTTAGTACTGCGTTTTGTTGCAATGCTATAGATCGATGCAATCTTCATCATTAATAATAATTAATCATATTTCTCCCTTATTGTTGATAGCAATAAAATAATAATAATAGTGTAATGTGAATAGAACCAACGTGTTGTGATAAAAAGCAATGATAATATTGAATAAAATATTAGCAATAAAGAATATTGACACTGGTTAGATCTAGTGACTAGACCCAAAGTGTTCTGAGTTCAATACCAGGCCACAGCAGTGGTGAACCAAAACTTGAAGAGTTGAGTTAAAAGGAAATAACTGAGACATCTGGAATAGGCATGGCACATGGAACTAGAACAATCTAGCCCAGTGAACAAAATAAAGAGTTCAGTTTGAAAAATCCTATCACCTGATGAAGGCCAGGGCTTACAATGGCTGAAACATTGTGAATATGGCAATAAAGATGAGGTTGACAGCCCCAAAATAATGTAAGTAATCATAATATCAGAGATATAGACAGATAATAATAATAATAAGTTCTTGTAGGATTTCAACATTCAAACTAACCACATCCTTAATCCACCAAACATCATCATTTTTTACAAAAAAAACAAAATGCTTCCTCATCAATGTTACTGTTCCTGGTGATGATGCTATAAAGGTTAAAGAAACTTAAGAAATAAGGCAACCTCTGAACTGAATTTGCTATATTGGCTGTGATTCTTTGACAACCAAGCATTACCATTCCAATGAAAAATTAGCCCAACTGTCATGCAAAGTTAGCAGTGATGCCATCTATGTTCGGAGGCTACCTTTTGCAAACAATTTAGGAAAGCACAACTCTTACCAACACCAGACCAACCCAAGTCGAGGTCTTTTTTCATGTCAGTCTGGTTCTTTTTTGCAATATATTATGAGTATGTGTAGATATTTTGTTTGCAGTGTCTACATCTTTTAATGTCATCAGTTCAAGGAAGATAAGTGAAGTTATAACTATTGTTATTTCCCTTGTATGGACAATGCCAGATGACAGTGTCTTTAAAATAACAAAGGCAAAAGATGTTTGAAAATGCTTAGAAAATGTCTAATGCCATGAAGGAGCAAAGTTTAACAATAATAACTGGGAAATTTATATTTAAAGATTCACATCTAATTTTCTAATAATCGTGAGGGCAGCACAAAATATGACAGCTTACAGCCACATCACATTGTAACACCGGTTCCTGTATGATCACTGAAGTTAAGCAACATTGAGCCTGGCCAGTACCTAAATGGATGACCACTTAGGAATGTCAGGTTCTGTAAGCTTTGATGTGCAGGTGGTGTAATGGATAATTGTTAATTAAAGAGCTGAGTTCCAATTACAGTTGAGTTTGTTATATTCACTTACACTTGGGAATGGTATTCATCTATTTCTTCTACCCCCTCCCCCCAGCTATGGGTTAATTAGTAAGACTTCTATCACGAAAAAAAAATTATTATCTAAAAAGAAAAATAAAATAAAATTATGTACAAAATAGTAAAATTTCAGCATTAGATAACTCATAAAGGTTGATATACAACTGAGCAAAAGCAACCAAGCAACAAAATATGACACCGTTTCTGACAGAAGAATTAAACTTGTGATAAAGGATCTTCAAAATGAATTATGTTGTAGAATTTAAAGCCTTTTGTTCTCTGATCCTATCTTTTAACCTCCTGCTAATGACTTCTCCAAGAAACAATTTTCCACTCTTTCCCAGAGACAAGATGCTGCTAGCCTCTTGCTACTGTATCACTATTTCCATTGCAGATGTTCAGCTGAACAACATTCCTTAGACCCACAAGTCTAGAAACTTCACACCTAGGACTTGTCATGCCACATACACAGAGTTGACTCATCTTCATTCCCTTTATATTCCATTGGTGAGGAAGAAGTTTTCAGAGTGAAACATCTTCCTTAGACCTGTTACATTGTGAAACAGACTCCTGGAATGATGCTTCCCTGATCACTACAATCTTAATCTCTTCAAGTCTAGAGTCAACCATTATTTATCCTACATATCCTCATAATATTCAACTCTTACTCCCTCCTTGTACATCCTTACATTAAACTCCTTTAGCAACCCTCTACCTTGAGTGACTCTTGGGTTTTGTATTGGGTGAACAATACTATAAAAAACATCCACAAAATGTATATGCAACATAAGGTGAATGAAGCCTTATTAACTGAACATCATTTTGATGCATCATCAAATAAAAAGCGATATTTATGTTACATCCTTAGGCATGCAGCCTTCCAGTGTTGCCCCTTGGCTAAAACATCAGCTGACATTTTCATGGCAAACATCATTAATTCTATTCCTTGTTGATGCTTATCTGCCACACTTGAGTGATTTGTACATTGTTATTTCAAAAGATCCTCTCCATATAATATTTTTATCATATAGCCTAAAGGCTAAAGCCAATCATCGTAGGGACTGTTTACTTGTTTGTCTGCAAAATATGTTATTCTTTCTGTGGGCAAAGATAAACAAGTTTTGCTTGCTTGCAGTAAAAACTGCTTCAATTAACAAATTAAATCATCATAAGAGAATTTCTTTTATTGCAACACAAAAGAAATCCTTAAATACAGTTTATGATTTAATTTTCAATATAAAATTTCATTGTCCTTTCCAAGAGAAAAAAAACTCTTAATCTGAAAATAGGAAGGGAAGTGTTTTGTTTTGTTTCATTAAAGACTTGTTCTGACCCACTTTCAGTGCATATAGGGAGATGAAATAACACTTGTAGAAATATGCATGAGATGCATTTCAATTTGTATGCCTGAAGTAATGTTTCTGTAAGTGCAAAAATATGTGACAATAGAACCAGTGCAATATAAAGTTGTAATCAGGTTCTATTTTTGAAAGATACAGATAGTTTTGGAGGTTATGACAGCAATATATGGGCCAGATGCACCTTCCTATAGTGTTATTATCACTGGAAATGAATACCTGGCTGGTCAGAATGTTATCATTCTTATCATAATACCCAGGTTCAAATCTCACCATGGTCAATTTGTCATGGAGACAACTTCTTGATAATATTGGCATAGAGAGACAATCTCATAATGCAACACAGTTGGAAAATGCCTGAAAAACATACAACACATTGCCCTAAGCCTTGTGAGTGAAATTTGGTAGATAAAATTGTTCAGAATCTATTGATAGCTGTCTAGCACAAAGCCACAAGTCATTGTTGTCAAAGTTTTAAGTGTACTAACCTTGTTTCAACTGATGACCACACCAGATTATACACTCTCTCCCAGAAGCTATAACTAAAGTCTGCTCAGCATAGTTGCAGTATAAACCATAGGTTGGCTCTATAGGTGTTGAAGAAACAGAAATATTCCTGAGCAGGCAACTGCACAAGGGATTGCAGACAAGTATAATTTGAAATAAACAGACAGCCATTATATTGCATTAAGTCTGGGAAATGGCATTTCAAATGTGGTCAAACTTCAGTAGAAGTAACCTTTATTCTGGTTGACCTGAATCAGCCATCAATTGATGGTAATACTATTAAACATGTGGAGACTGTCCTTTTAGAAGATTACTGTATAACTATACAAGGATTAGTGAAGAGAGTCATGATTAGTGTGGGTGATGTGAAAAATATCATCTATAAACTCTTGCCATCATATTGCATTAAGTCCTGAGACTGATATTTCAAATATGGTCAAACTTCAGTAGAAGTTTTATTACATTATGTTATATTATAAATTTACAAAATGCTAAGATTGTGAACAAATTAGATAAAATATGTGACAATACAGAAATGACTCTTTCTACATTCATCTACAAACATTTTTGTTTGATGATTTTAATGTTCATCATGTCAAGTGTCTTAATCATTCTAATGTTACTGATGTTGCCGGTATTCAGACTTTTAATTTTTCCGTTGCTCAGTCTCTCAGTCAAATAGTGGATTTCCCTATTTATTTCCCCTAATAATTCTGATCAACATGCTTCTTTACTTGATTTGTTCCTTACCTCCTCTTCTGGCTCTTGTTGAGTCTCACAACACTGTCCTCTTGGCATTTCAGATCACACAGTAGTATCCGTTTATATTTCTTTTGCCTTGTATATTAGAAAGGAACCTGCTATCTACATGACTTCTTTCTGATACCAGCATACTGACTAGGATTCATTTTGTAACTTTCTTCAAGACAACACTTGGACTGATATTCTTAACTTTCCTACTGAAAATTTTCTTCTTGTGTTAAAGCCAACATCTACATGACTTCTTGTTAAAGCTATCTACTGACTAGGATTCATTTTGTAACTTTCTTCAAGACAACACTTGGACTGATATTCTTAACTTTCCTACTGAAAATTTTCTTCTTGTGTTAAAGCCAACATCGATACTTTTGTACCATCTCAGAAATACCAGGTGAAACCACAATCATCAACTTAGTTTACACCTACCTAGCTGCTATAGCCCACAAGAATTACTTTTTCCAGCTGTACCAGCATGATAGTTCCAATCACAATAGATAACTCTCTGCATTTGCTTGTAGATGTTTTCCCAAATAATGAAGCACCACATAGCCTCTAACAAGTTTGGTTCTTGTGATTGCTAGCAACTCTATCAGATAGGCCTCCACTGGTTATCAATGACCATGAATTTGATCCCAAGGTAGGATCAAGCCAGAGCAGGATGCTATGGAGCACAAGATGTTGAGCATGCAGCATGTCCCCCCTCTCCATGTCACTGATGGATCCAAAGGAACAGCAAGGTCATTAAAGTTTGGCACCAACATCGTCAAAGGAGCTACCAGAATGAGGCTGAAATCAGCAATGAACTGTATTAGGGGCTCCAACACGGAATTTTTAGCTGCATAGTATGTGTTATGCCAGAGCTACATACATTTTTGAACTCAGAGTTACTTTCTTCTAGGACAGTTGCCACTCAAGGCTATAGAACCCAGTCTGTCCTACTAATCACCCATAGCTGGGGGGAGAAGATTCATAGCTTTCCCAAGGGTATTAGCATGTAAGTGAATATAATGGATCAAACTGGAATTCAAACTTGACTCTGCAATTCCTCAATCTGAGTGGGTATCCATTACTCCACTATGAAATCCACAATTCTACAACAATGTATTAAATAAGAATAAATATTCTACTCCTCATCTCTTCATTCAATTTGAAGTGTTAATATCTTCTGCTGTTAAAGCAGAATGTTTTGCTTGTAAATTCTCTTCCAATTCTATTCTTGATTCATCTAGAGGATCTTTGCCTGATTATCCAATTAGAACTGAGTTTCTATTGCATGATATGCATATAACTCCTTTCATGGTTTCATCTCTAAAGTGGATCCCCACAAAGCATGTGGACTTGATGATATCCCTGTAATAGTCCTTAAGTAATATACTCCTGAACTGGCTCCCATTCTCTCTAAAATCTACAATAAATTCCTTGCTACTTCTTGCTTTCTCACTTGTTAGCAAATCCTCTTCAGTAGTTCCAGTCTTTAAGAACTCAGGCAAACAGACTGATTCTTCTATCAGTCTTTTAGCTTTCTACCTCTTTTTTAATGGTTTTAATCACACTGAATTGGTTAAATATCTCACTTAGCAAGGTCATCTTTCAGATAAGCAATATGATTTTCACTTCTCTAGATCAACTGCTGATGCATTAATGATTATTTTTGAAAGAGTTTTATCAAGCTTTAGATAAGAATGGTGAAGCTTGGGTTGTTGCTTTAGATATTTCAAAGACATTTGACAGGGTATGGCATGCTGGTCTTCTTCACAAGTTGAAAGATTATAGTATTTCTGGATGAATTTTTAAACTGATTCAATCTTTCTTACCAAATTGTGAAATGAAAGTTGTCCTGAAAGGCCACTCTTCTAGATCTTTTTGCATTAATGCAGGTGTCCATCAGGGCTTCTTCCTTGGAAATACATTGTTCCTAATCAATAACCTTCCTGATGTTATCAGTTCTCAACTTGATATCTATGCTGATGACACAACTATTTACTCCTGTCTTAATAGTAAGCCTGATTGGCTCAATAAGGTCAAATTAGCAACTGATCTAAAAAATAACTTACAGTCTGTTATTAACTGGGGCAAGAAATGGCTTGATAATTTTAATGCCTCCAAAATGAAATTGCTCTCTTTTAATTGTTCAAGAGAACCCTTTTTGCCTTCCATCCACATGGCTGATGCTAACCTCATTGTGCCATCTTGGGCTGACATTTTCAGCTGACATGAAGTGGAAAGATTATATTGCTAGGTCTGCTCTAAGAAAAGTTGGTTCACTGAGTTGTGCTAGACAATT